TTCTTTGTATATAGAAATTAAGAGAGAAAAATTCACTGAGGTAAAACCTGATGTCACCATATTTTGGTAGCCTCTGAAATAATTTTAGTTTAATTATGGATCATTCCAGGAAGATTTTTGGAGTTTTCTGTTGCTTGCTCTATAGTTCCCACCTTGATGAAAAGTCTGACATAAACTAAAAAGGCGGAGAGTAAGGAAATGAAGAGATGGGATTAAGGGCCTGTCCAGACTAGCTATTTTGAGTGTGTGGTAGATTGGGCTACAAAGGGAGGGTCTGTTGAGGTTGGAGGGAGGAGCACTATGCCATCTGCATGCTCCTCCTGTCTGAACAGCAAACAGTCCCTTGTAGCCCAACCAGCTGTCAATTAAGCACTTCCCTGTCAATTAAGCCACTCCTTTTCCTCCCCTCCCCCTCCCTGCTTCCCTCTCCTAATTCGGCCCCCACTTTCTCTCTCAAGCTCTCCCTCGGAATCTACAGCTTCTGGAGGCTGCTATCTCCTAGCTAAGCAAGGAGCATGCCAAATAGAATGCATGCTTTACCACTAGGCCAGAAAGGTGCACAACAGCTTTTAAAGGGGAAGGATGGATTGTTGCTCTAAGGAGAAATACTAGGAGATGAGGTCTTTTTTTTTAAATCCAAAAAAGCTGTATATCCTATCTATATGCCAGTGTGGGCAGGTCCTAAATGGGATGGAGAAAGTGAAACCAAGATAATGTTTTGGGCAGGATGTATCTGAAACTTTCAAAAACTCTAAATGGGCAACAAGAGTAAGGTGGGGAGGAATCATATAATAGGTGGGATTTTCTGTGTTCATTCTGCTAAGACTTTTAGGATAGTAACATAATGCAAACTTAAATATCAATTAAAAATCTAAATAGTAAAAAGTTCCATTTTCAATATAAATGTAGTTTTATATTTTTTTTACATTTTTAATAATTAATTTACTGTATGACTATTTCTCACTAACCTTACAATCTCTGAGGATTCCTTTTTGTAGAGGATCACATAAAGTGAGATGAGAGAAAAATAAATCTAAAACACCCAAAATTCTGGTAATACTTTAAAAACTTAAACATTACTTATACTATAGGCCTGTGGACTGGAATCCACTCTAGGCCACAAACATTCCACATACTATAATAAGTATGTTTTGGTTAAGGTGGTACAAGATTCTTTGTTATTTTTCTTCCAAGCAATTAACATGGCTATACCAAATTAACATGGCTATACCAAAGCATAGCATCAAATTATTGGCTAAAAGCCTGATCATTTCCTATTAACTTAAAGTAACAGAAGTAAAAGAAAAGTCATCTGGTTCTTATAAGATTGAGCTAATTGAACTAATCCTACTCAGAGCCAAACTATCGAAACTCATCAAACTCAAATTTATGAATTCCTATAGTAAGCTGTTAAAATTGTGTGCTCAGTCAAGCTAAAGGATGTTTGATTTTCTTATGTGTGCTCCTGGTATGGGATTTGTCTGAATCTCAGAGACATGACATTACAGGGTGACACAAGTTATGACCAGAAGATTCCGAGGATTAAGTAGTCACGAAGTTCATGTTCACTAATCAACTGTTATAAATGCAGTACTTAGAATTTAAAAAAAAAAACTGAAAAGGGAAACACAAGTGCTTTTAGATGTGCTTATATTGTACAGCTAAAAATACTTCTTTACACTCCACATGCAAAAGCTGGTGTGGGTCATTATGATAGCAAATGTAATCTGTTTTGAAGAAGAAAGATGGCTTGTATGAAATCCATTAAAAGTAAACACATATCTCCAATGTATTTTCTCTGTCATTCGGCTGATATATAGCATGAAATGTGTTTGGATCGGTTTTCAAAACCTTTCCTTTGCTGCAGTATTTTAACATGTATACATGTTTTTGATAATGCTTAAAAAAAATTTTTTGTCTAACCTCTTTTAAATGATTTAGGATGCTTTCTATATATGTTTTAATCATTGTAAGCCACGGTGAGTTCCTTACGTAGGAGAAAGATGATAAGTAAATAAAATTGAATGTTTGATTGATAACTGTTTTAGAAGAGGTAGCTGTGTTAGTCTGTGCTAGTGTGTCAGACAAAAACAAAATCAAAGAAGACAAAACTATTGTGGTACTTTAAAGACTAAAGTCTCAGGACTTGTCCATAAAAGCTCTTATTAAAATATGGCAGCTTGTCTTTAAGGTGCCGTAAAATTTTTTCTTCTTTATTTTTATTTTTCCTGATTGATAACTCTTTAAGCAGCCATTCCTTTTGGATATGGAAGCCTTGATGTACAAGCCGAACTTTCTGTCTATAAATAGAAGTCCATTCATTTAACAGGTGGGGAACATGGCGGTCTTGCCTGGAGCCCCTGAAATCTAGGAATGTTCAAATCCCACTGACTTCAGCAGGAGAGAATTAAATGTCTGCCCAATTGCCTTATTAATCCCATGTGATTTGAAAGTGCTTTAGTTAGGGTCAGTTTTTATGAAATTCTTGCACTGAGGACTGTGCCTGCATCATTGCTAAACTGCTGAACTAGTAATGCAATTTAAAACATTGTATGGTGGTTAAAGTTTACCTTGTGTGGTGTAGTGACAGAATAAGACTCAGGAGACCTGGGTTCAAATCTCCACTTGACTATGGAAATTCATGGGCATGTGTGTGGAATTGGTAAAGGTTTAGAGTTGCTCTAAGTTGGTTTCAATTGACAGCATATAACACACAACTGTTATGCACATTATTTACACAGATTGGCTGGGTGAATATCAGCCATTTGCTGTTTATTTTTCTCCGGTTCTTTTTCATATTACTGTTCCCAGATAAATACTTCATAATGTGAAATTACCAGAATGAAGGAACAAGTGAACCTTTAAATATGTGTGTGTTTGGGTTGGAATCTAAGCATAAGCTATTGAACTGTGATGTTGAAAAGTAGTAATCATAGACAATTCTACAGACTATTTTATTAGTTAATATCTCCTAATGACTGGATGTTGTTAGTTTCTGGAAGAATAAGCACACTTGTGGGTCACATCCCATAGATCACTGATCCCATCATGAATAATTAGGAGGCTTCAGCATTTTCCTCAAGATTAACCCTTGAAAGTTCCTTGAGGTTAGGTAGCCTCAGAGATTAAAATTGAATGTGACTGCATAACAGTATGCAGAGTTAGAAAAGCAATGTATGCTGCAGCTGTGGCATGTTTTGTTCTGAGCAATACAAACCAAAATACTGAGGCTGTAAATTATTGGTACCATGATAAATATTGCTTTTTGTGTGACTATTTAATAACTTAAGCAGAATCATTTGTGCTTGGCATTTTATATGATCAAATTTTCATTCAGTGATACAATTTCAATATTAAATTAAACCGAAGGCACCTCTGGGTTGTAGCATATTTGCATCTTGTTCTGAAATGCAAGGCCACCCTCTTCTTTATTTTTTTTTCAGAATATATTTGTAATTTACAGATAGAAAAAGCAAACATTTATGTACAGTGAATACCTTCCCAGAGAGCATGAATACCAAATATTACAGAAATGCATTAAAAATAGAGCCCTATATCATGAATAGTCCCCCAGTAATTCAGATGGTTAATTCCAGCATAGATGTGATGAACCAAAAACAGATTTCTTATAAACCAGTTAACCTACAACAAGCTAATGAAGTGTTGGTGTAGTGTTCAGAATGTTCGACTCTAACAAAGCTGTTATACTGTCTGTTTAGTAACATATTCAAAGCTCTGTGTCATTCACAGGATTTGGTGAGCTTGCATTTATCACTTTGTCTGTGAAGCATCAAGTGATGACTTCAGTGTGCAAAAGAGCCATCACAAACAACATGTAGAGATGTTTCACAAGCGCTCATACTTTTAAATGGAGTCAATTCAGGCAGTCTGCAGTGATTCATCAAAAGCTGATGTATACAGAAATACCATGAACTAGCCTTCTGGTTTGGACTTTGAAGCATCTACAGTCAAAGGATTTCACAATTTCTGAGTATCTTTTTGGAATATTTTTCATGCACTTAAATGCTACACACTTTATACCTGTTTGTCCTTTGTACCTTTGCATCCACTTTGACTGGATGCATGTTTACCCTGGTCTTTGTTGTTATGTGCTATCAAGTTGGAACAGACTTATAGAGATCCTAATAGAGTTTCCAAGCTGAGTGAGTTGTTCAAAGAATGGTTATACTAGTTCTTCCTCCCAGTGAGATTCTATGGTAGAGCCAGGGAATTGAACCCAGGTCTCCCGAATCCTAGTCCATCACTCTACTCACTGCATCACAGTGGGTACCCATTCTAGTCTTTAGCCAAAACAAAACAAAACATTTTCCTAGCTTAACTTAAAAATATAGAGAGCAGGGTGGGGATCGAACTGGTGCCAGTTCTTTTCAAAAGTGGGCTGGTGACATAGGGATATAGTCATGATATAATTGGGTTCAAATCAATGGTTCCACCGGGTTTCATCCTCCTTCTCTCTTCCCAGCCTTGGGTCCCCAGATTTTCTTGGACTACAATTCCCAGAAATCCTGACCAGCACAGATAGTGGTGAAGACATCTGGGAGTTTTAGTCAACACCTGGGGACCCAAGATTTGGAACCATTGCCCTATTGGAAAGGAGAGTGATACAGAGGGGAATTCCAGCTCTTATCTCTAATCACGGATAAAAGAGAGCAGTAAGTAGTCCTCTCTTCTCCCTCCGTAGCCTACAAGAGGCAAGGCTTTGTAGGAGAAGGGATGATTTAGAAGCCTCTATGGGAACATCAAGACATTCTTTTTCAGAATCTGAGAGCACAATGGAGCATATTGTTGTATATATTCATAAGTAAACTCTTTGGACATTGTACGTTTGTAGCACTGTGAACTTTAGTGGGAAATGGGACAAAAATGAATGGAAAACAGACTCCAGTGTGATGTGATGAACCAGCTGTATGTTTAATTTGAAGTGCTGCAACACTAAATAACAAGAATCTCTGCTCATCTTGTCTGTTTCCTTTATTTAGCTATTAAAGATTGCTTTGATGGGTTTGTACTATGTCCCTCGACTAACAGCTGCATTCCAGTCTCCCAGCGATGTGATGGTATCGCAGATTGTATTGATTTTGTTCCTGATGAATCTAGCTGTTCAGGTAACCTTCCAGTTATAAGTCACAACTTCATTTTTTTTAAAAGCCTGCAAAGAGGGGAAGCATGCAGAATCCTTGCGCAGCTTTGTATAGCTCTTATGTGCAATCATTCAAGCTGTGCATTGCACACTGGGATGTACCTTGATCAGTTGTGTACCAAAACAACTATGAAAACCACTTGCAGAATTTCACGCATGCATCCGATATTTCACAATAGGATTATGATCCAATGTATTTGAATTTTTCCAGATGTCTTCTCTTGTTTTCTGATTGTGTGGTAGTCTTCAGTCAAATTTTAGGCAGATATTTCCTGTTGTACAATGTGGAATTAAACCTAAGGAAGTGGGTTGACTTGCCCTTGTCCTTCACACAGTTTATGTAACAGATTATACCCAACAGTGTACCTTTGTGAATGACTAACACAAATCAATAATAGCTCTTACGACTAGAAGATGAGATGCATCACAGGGAACTTACACTTTCCACTGGGGATGGCCACCTTTGGCAGGTCCAGAGGCCATTTGTTTGGGCCCCAGGATTGTATTGGGGCTGCATAGTCAAAGCAGCTTGTTCTAAACAATCAAGACACCTTGGCGGTTAAGCTGAAAGGCTCTTTTTTCATGGCTCCCTTGATAACATGGTGTGTGTGTGTTTCTGTTAGCAGGACCTAGCGCTTTATATAAAAAACAGTATTTACAGTGGGGTCTTGACTTGAGAACTTAATCCGTATTGGAAGGCGGTTCTCAAGTCAAAAAGTCTGTAAGTCAAGTCTCCATTGACCTACAGTGCATTGAAAACTGATTAATCCTGTAACAGGCCGTTTTTGTTCCATTTTGGTTTTTTTCTGGTCTGTAAATCAAATCTCAGTCTGCAAGTCAAACCTAAATTTTGCGGCCAGAGAAGTCTGTAACTCAAAAAGTCTGTAAGTCAAGCCGTCTGTAAGTCAAGGGTCCACTGTAATGAACACCAACAGTGATAAAAATGCACCTAAAGTGGATGCTACAAAATGTATGCTGTTGAGTTTCAGTCAGTTCAGTACTGTGCCAGAAAACAAACTGCTTGTAGAAAAACAAAAATGAATTCCTACAAATGTCTTTTTAAAACAAAATGCATCAGAAGTCAAATCCCAAATCTCTTTATCACGCAAGGCAGAAGATCCACAGCACAAAGAAAGTAGTTCCAGGTATACACTCTTTAAGGACTGAAAATAAAACACAAAGTCTTATACAAAAGCATAACACTGAGCCACTTTGAGGGTTGCCACCTGGGAGAAAGGTGGCATACAGATGCAATAAATAAATACCACCACATGGATTCACCATCCCAGTGCCTCTCCTGCACAAAAAATATTGAACTTCCATGTATCATCCTCCAGGACAATAGCAACTTCTGTCCTTTCCAGCTTTCCCTGCTTCTTTCTAAGTGGGAATTTAGAGTTACAGCCCCTTCCTGAGGTCTGCCCACCTACTGGGCTGAATCAAATAGTCTACAGAGGTTAGACTTGCACACTGGTTTTGTCACAGCAGGGACTTGTAATTTGCCTATTAGGAATGGCTTGAAAGTTATGAATTTGCTTACCCTAAGCAACAGCAGTATTTCATCAACAGGCTAATTCACATAGGTTAATAATACAAAATTTTAGTGGTACAATGAAATACAACCTGAACATTTAAAACAATAATATGTCAATAAGGCATTTTGAACCCATCTCAACAAGTTGTGGCAGATGTCATGGGCACACCCAGATGTTGTTAAACCCCCATTCTTCTTAACAGTGGTAAAGTCTGGACAGTGGCCGGGCAAGAAGACAGTAACAATTCATTGACATTTGGAAGGTGAATGGTTCTAAAGGATTGATCTTCTGATTATATGTTTCTAGGCATTAAGACCAGTATTTCAGTATATCTCTCCTAATACTATTGTCACAATTTTGACGATTTGTCAATCTCCCTCCACACACACAGATTGTCCTGAGGCATATTGCAAAAACGGAGGAATATGCATCAAGGAACCGGTTCCCATCTGTCAGTAAGTGTCATAGTTGTCTTCTTCTTCTTCATAACATTCCAGGGCTAAGCAGACTGGCTCACCAACCCAATCTGCACCACGCTGTTGGGACCTCATCCATCATATTCTGCTTCTGTTTCCTTTTCTTCCAAACAATCTTTGCGCCATGAATAGAATGGCAAAAAAAGAGAGGATGCAATAGGTTTGAGACCTAAGTAAGAAGAATGCAGGAATGGTGCTAAAAGAGGCATGGCACTTCAAGGGGTCAAGAATTCCCTTACCTGGGGTTACAGACAAAACAGGTTAAGCGTGTCAACTATAGTTGTCATTGGAGCAGATGCAGGGAGTTCCAAAGATTCAAGGGTTTACACACGTGCCCATGCAGTTGATAGGGATCCAGCCATGATGCCCACCACTCAAAAATGTCTATCCTTTTTTCTTAATTGGAAATGCACCTTCTAGTGAACAACAACAACAAAAACTTGATTATATAAAACTTGAGGTGCAGGAGTCCCAGGGATGTAAGGCCCCCTTTAAAACATAGCAAAGTTGTCCACCTCAGGAGCAAAAGGGTGCTTTAAAGCTGAAAACCGCTTTTTAAAAACAATGCATGTTTGTGGAAGTGCTGGGGACACCCAAGAAGTTGAGTGGTCACATATCAGCCCCCCCCCCAGGAGGCTGCATGAAGTCTGCAGGTGGCATGTTGCCCATCCCTGCATTTGAATGATAGGGAGAATGGGGTGGAGGAGGGATGCCCCCCATACTGCCCGTGTGGTGGAGAGAGAAAGAGGTGATAAGGAAAACAGGATGGAGAGCGGATGGGAGGTGTGATAGGAAATTACGGTAAATGGGACAGTGTTTTTTTTGTATTGGTATGACTTTATGAGAACGGTGCTTATAAACCTTTATGAAGACCTCCATATGTAGATCCTTAATACTTTTCTCTTTCATCTTGTTACCACTTCCAAAATTAAGCCAGCATGGATGGTATTCAAAGTAGAATTTTCTTGGCTTGATTACAAACTCGAATTAGGTGAAAATGTCAGTTCTCAGGAATGTATAAAGAGAAGCCAATGCAAGCATAGAGCAAAACGTACTTCTAATTTCAGTGCCAGCCATTTTGTACAGTAGTAGAACTACAATTTATGATGTGTTGCTGCTTTTGACATTAAGAAAATCCACTCAGATACAGGGTGTTTGTTTGCTACTTTAGTATTCATCTATTCCTACTGTGGCATCTTAGCTGAAATCATGATGCTGTATTTAATATCATAACCATCTTTACATCAAAAATGCCTGACATCACTCACCCAAAACTATAATAATCAGCAGAAAATTATACTAATGCTCAGGATCGTCTGTTAATGTAATTTATATATATATATATTGCATACACACTATAACCAGCATTCTATAATGATTTTAAGTGATTAAGATTTATGAGGATGCTTTTGTAGATTTTTTTTCTCTTGTAGTGTTTATGTTGCTGTTTACGTTTTGTGTGTGTCCGTTGTAAATTTTTTATAGGAGCAATTACATTTCATTAAGTAAATTACTTAGGAATTCTTAGTTATGACTTCTGTGCCACCAACCATGGCTATCTTTATACAGTAAAATGACATCACATCAGCAGGGAACAAGAGATTCATAAGAAGCCCAATCTATATATTTTAAATTCCTAATAGCTTTCTCTGTTGGCTGGATAGCTCAGTGGATTAGAGGTTGGGAGTTCTCTTCCATTGTGTGCTTCCTGAGAGAATATACGTACAGCTTGTGTAGCCTTGGGCAAGCTACACAGACCCAGTACACCCTGAAAATAGAAGAGCACTATATACCTAGAATACATTAGAAAGGGTCAATAATAAGAACTCTGGAATTGACTTGACAGCATGTAGTTGCTATTATTAATAGTTTTCTCTAGAGATAGGGTATTCGTATACAAACACCCACACACACAGAGGTGGAGATAACAAGGGTTATCAAGACTGTCCACTCACGATTCTGCCACTGATGTGAGCTTGACAGAGCCTTCCTGTCGCTCCGTTGTCTGCAATGGATTAGCCACTCTCTGACCTAGCAGAGAGGCTTGTCATCCCACCTCCTGGGGATGACAAGTTTTTTTCATGTTGTAAGAGAAAGAAAGAAAGAAAGAAAGAAAGAAAGAAAGAAAGAAAAAGAAAGAAAGAAAGAAGTTTTCTTTTAGTTCCTCTAATTTGTGAAATGGAAGCAGCTTCTTGCAGCACTCTACAGCTTTTACCTTGGTCTTAAATGCTAATCATAAAACCCAGTCCCAGTGAAATCAGTGAGTTACACTTGTGAAAATGTGTACATTACATGTATATTGCTGGATGGATACCACAGAGAATTGGGAACTTGGCTGCAGAGCCAGAATTTAGCAGTTTAATTCCCCATTTTGCTTTCTAAGAGAAAAGCCAACCTATGCATATGCTTAGGCAAGCTCCACAGTCCCGGAAGAAAGGAACGGTAACCTTCTTCTGAGTAATCTGCACTTCGAAAACCTTGGAAGGAGTCACCCTAAGTTGGAACTGATTTGATGGCAAACAATTACAGTTATTATCATGAGGCTATTAGACTGTGATACAGTAAAACTGCAGTCAGTAGTCAATACGGGTTATAACTTTTAACAGAGGGGATGTGGCGCTCCTGATCTTAAATATCAGTATGGTTTATTTTATTGTACATTAAAGTAGGCTGCTACCCGTGAAATACATTTTTAGCAGTCATCCCACATAATCTCTTTTTTGAATGCACAAAAGCTTCATTGAACGAATTCAAATGATAATTAAACTTTGAGGAAGCAGCAGTCTTCTTTCAGACCTATTATTAACAGAGAAGCAAGGCTACTTTTCTTGAGTAAATTTTAAGCTCTAAACATATTTACTCAAATTGGCTAGTTGGAGTGGATTTTTTAAAGGAAATTTAATTGGAAGAGGAAAAAGTCAATAAAGGGTTTCAAACCTGATCCTTTCTCATTAGTGCCTCTACCATTAGAACTTTGAAGATTTGGACCGGGCTGCGTCATCTTCGTATTATATTTATTTACATTTCATAGCTAGCTTACCCCATTCCTTGGACTTAGGAAATGTTTACAATAATGAGAGAAAGGCACTGAAGGGTTCAAGAAGCTATTGAAGCTCTTGTTCCGGGGATTTAGAGTTGTACGTTTGTCATGACTGATGTAAAACAATCAATTCTGATTTTTTTTTCAACTAAAAAGCCTCCTTTTTTTTTTGAGCCAACGATTCAAAAGAATTATTTTTTTCATAATTTTTAAAAGGGCAAAACTGCTATGTATTGTGGGAGCCAGGCCATAGGCCTATTTATAAGACGGGTTTTTTTTTTGCTTTGAAGAGCTGTCAGGCAACATCTTTGTCTCCTCAGGACAACGTTTTGAGGGTGGTGGTGGAAGGCCACGGACCAGATTTAGCCAATCAGTCATCCTCAGTGCAGTGCTTTGACCCAGATACCACCTTCCAACCAAGTTGGCAGATGGGTCATTTCCTCACTACAAACAAGCACAAAACTTTTCCTCTCGCCCCTGAAGTAGTTTCAAAGTCAAACCCAGCTGCTGCTGAAAGCGATATGAATCTTTCCGTATAGGATTTTTGAAGCTGAGAGAGCAGTGCTGACCCCTGCACAGAAAGTAACCATAGCAGCACATTCTAAATATTTCCTTAGGCACTCCTTGCTTGCGTTTTATCAGCCCTGTCGGATTATGTGGTATCAGAGCTGGAATTATTTTTAGCATCTGATCCAAATAATTGAATTCTTAATGCAAAAGGAGCGCAAGCCTGTTCAACAAGGAAAGGAAAACATTAGAGAACAGGGGGAGGGGGGAAAGTGAGAGAGATTCAAAAGCTTTAGAACATGACTGGGGAAGGATTCATCTTGTAGAGCGGAGGTTTGCAAATCCCTTTACAAGATACTGGGGCTTGCCTACTTCAGTATTTAGGATGCTGAAAGCATACTGTCCATTGTCGGATGAATGTCCCACCTTTTCGCTTGGATTCCCACCATCTTATATTGGACCCAATGAGGCAAAAACACAGGCCTAATTATAAGACGGTGTGCTCCCCCTGTTAGTAAGAAGATGACTGGAAGCTGAGGAAAGAACCGGCAGAAGGACCCAAATGTACGTGCTGGCATCAAAAATGTGGCCCATTAGCTCTTATGAAAGGCTCTTCTCCCATGATAACTTACTGCCTCTTCTTTCTCTACAATTAAGGTGTAGGTAATGAGGCTTAAGAAAGGAATGAATGCTCTGAGGGCACAGCAGGTTGCTCTTAGAAGTGCCAGTTTTATTTGCAAAGGTTAAGTAATATTCTAGAAGGACTTTTTCCCCCCTGAAGATGAAAATTGCCAAAGAGGGGATGGAGGCTGCTTTCTGGAAAGAGGTGGACTATTTTCTCTCCTCATAGAGGAGAAATCTAATTCACTATTCATATCAGTCCTTTTGTGCAAATATAAGAGACTGAGGAGGTAGGTAATTGAAATTGCCAGAAACATTAAGCATATGAAATCCATCAATGGCATTTTTCGTCACTTTTCTCAGACCTGAATGGTCACCCCATGCACTGGGTATCATATCAAGTTGTGAGACTTCTTCTCCCATCACCACCAAAAATGGTGCATGTCTAGGCAGGCCCTTTCCGTATCCTACGTGTTTTTCTGAATGCACCTCTCTTTACATTCCCCTCCACTGTTTGAATTGTGTTTGTGCGAGCTTTAGAAACTGATGCCATTCTAGCATTGCATAATTAGTCGCATACAGCAGGAAAAAGTATTAGATGTGCATGTCTTTCTTTGAGTGATGAGAAACCAAAAAATATGCACGCCTTTGTGTTAATAAGCCTAGCAGACCATGATTTTGATAAATTCTCTGCAAGTCTTCATTAATATACATTCCCTTTCCATTTCTCATTTGTGTGGCTAGTGCTGCGGAGCAATCCAAACAGGCTATCAAAACTCTTATGATTATTATTGTTTTAATTTGTTGAAAA